AAACATTTTTTTTAAAATATTATGTTGACCCATAGGGTTTAAACAAAATTAACAATTTTACACAGCTGCAATGTGCACCTCTTATATATAATTTTACCGTTCTTATAATGTTTGTTTTAGGTAGGACTTGTACCTATTCTTATTTATTTATTGAGGCATTTTTATATAGCGCTTACCTTAAAGCTCTAAGCGCTTTACAATTATTCAAAACATGTTAACTAAGTAAAATAAAAAATGAGACACCAGGATAGTAACTACTATACTATATAAACAATTAAAATGGCTATAAAACGAGGACACTTTGGCACGTTTTGGCCTATACTACAGACAAGAGACGAGAAGAAGAATATAATTTTTTTTATTTCATTTTTAGTTATAAATAGGAGATACACATTATTAAGTAAATTTAATTGATATGATACATAAGTTTTTTGCTGTTCTAATAAAAACATTAGCAAAAATATTTAAATGTGTATAATGTTAAAGTATTTTTAAATCGTTATACCTGTTTGTATACAAATAATTGATCGGGTTTCTTTAATTTATCTAAACTTCATTTAAAATCCCTTGAATGGACCTCCACTTGGCGAAACCGAAACATGGTCTAACTTTATAAAACACAGTATTGTTTGTATTCTTGTGCGGGGGTACTGATCTCCCAATCGAGCGCCTCCCCAGGTGGTGGATAGAGGAAGGCCCACCTGAAATGGAGGGTACCAGGGAAATAAAATACCCGGGCCGGACCATAATCAGAACCTATTGCTTTTGTAGGAAGGGAAGGGATCCACAAGGGCTAAGGAACCTTACCCGAAAACTAAGGCAGCTACCCAGAGAGCTGTAAGGGGCAACCCCTCAGATGGTTATGCGCAGGGCTAACAACCCGGCCACGTAAACAAAAAAAATAGAGTTACGAAAGCAAATCAACAGAATAAAACCCGGACTGATACCAATGGAAATCGATCTCTGCAAAGATATGGACATGATTTGTGGATTGCAAATTAGAATATACTAAGCTTGTTTAGAGCAGGAGCCCTTGTGCTTGTAAATCTTGTAAATCAACTGGTCAAATTTAAAATATCTATTGCTGTATTGCAAGAAATTCTATGGAAAATTTCAGACATACTCAAGACAAAAGAATACACCATATTTTACTGTGGTAACAACACCAACACACTCAAACAGGATTTGCAGTGAAAAAATAAACAGTTAGTGCATGCATAGGCTTCAAACGAAAAAAAAATGAAAGATTCTGTTCTTTGAGTGTGCGAGGAAAAATGTTCAATATAGCATACATAAATGTGCATGCTCCCACCGAAGTTACGGAAGATCAGGATCAAGAATCACTCTATGGGACACTTGAAAAGCTCTAAGCAGAGGCACCACGACATGATATTAAAATTGTGATTGGAGACTTTAATGCCAAAATAGGAAAAGAAAAGGTGTTCATGCCAACTATTGGCATGGAAAGTCTGCATGAAGAATCCAATGACAATGGATCCGACTCATTGACTTTGCTATAGGAAAAGGGATGCCATTTAGCAGCACCGAATGTGCACACAAAAATATACATAAAGCTACTTGGAACTCACAAGATGGAATCAAACACAACAACATTGACCATGTTCTTATAGATCGAAAACATTGATCAGATATATTAGATGTAAGCAGCCTTCGAGGAGCAGCTTCCGACTCGGAAATCTTCTTGTAAGGTTGAAATATAAGCAGAGAATAAGCATCATTGACAATGGTCGTAATCAAAGAGAGAAACAATACGATTAACAGAAGCTGACCAAAAACGGACTAACTGCAAAAGCTGACCAGAATGAAGTGTAAGCCCAATTAGAAGCATCACATGAGGAAGTAAACGGGGAAAACAACATAAATGAACAGTGGGATAGGATAAAATATGCCATTAAAAGATCAGCAGAAAACGTAGTAGGATTCCAGGAAATCAAAAATAAAGTAGCCTAGTCTGATAATGAATGCAGAGACACTGTGGATGAAAGAAACAAGCATGAATGACCATGTTACAAAGTGAAACCAGAAAGACAACACAGGCATACAAGGAGGCCAGAAGGAAAGCAACAGAAATGTGTAAGTAGAAAAAGAGTGAATGGAAAAAAAAGTAATGTAAAGGAAATAGAAAATTTATCAAGAGAGTGAAATTTAAGAGGAATGTGAATGAAAATAAAAGATGACAAAAAATGGATACCAAGCCAAAACGCAAAAGTGTGAAATCCATAATTGCGAATAAAACATGGAAAATAATAAAGTTCTAGAGAGGTTGGATGAATATTTTGTGGACTTACTGAATGCAGACAAGAAGAAGATTATCAACCCCCACATAGAGGACCAGACAGTTTTATACAATGCCAACCTCTATAAGAAACTAAAAAGATAATTAATAATATGAACAATCACAAACCCCCTGGAGAAGACGTCATCATGGCAGAACTGATTAAATATGGAGGAAAAGATCTACACACCCAGATACATAAACTTATAACTAAAAATTGGTAAGAAGAGAAAATTACGACAGAACGGGAAACTGCATTAATAACCCCAATTTATAAGAAAGACTCCAAACTTCAGTGCACAAACTGCTGAGGACTCCCCTTTATAAATGTACATATAAAACACTGATGATGCCTGTTGCCAAAAGACTACAACCTTACACTGAAGAAATACAAGGTGATTACCAATGTGGATTCAGGGCTAACAGATAAATGACTAATCAGATTTTCACCATCAGATGCCCATTAGAGAAATGCTCTGAATATAAAATACCATTACAACAACTCTATGTGGACTATAAAATGGCCTATGACAGCATCAAAAGAAAATATCTATATGAAACTCTGTAGGAGTTTGGAATACCCACGAAACTGTCAAGACTAAAACATGTAACATTAAACAACTCAAAAAGCAAAATCAAGATTCAAGGAGAATATTTAGGGACATTTCAAATATGACGAGGCCTAAGACTCACTGTCTTGTATGCTTTTTAACCTAACATTAGAGAGGGTTGAGAGAAACGAACACATTGACACTCGACGAACGATAACAGGATACTTTCTGAGGGAAACTCAGGACCCACAACCAACGGGCACACTCTACAACTAACCACTTCAGTATCTTGCATATGCTGATGACATAGCACTGCAAGGGAACAAATATTAAAGACATATCAAAATCCTTTGTTGAATTAGAAGACGCATCTCTATAAGCAGGACTGGGAGTTAACAACCAAAAAAACAAAATACATGACCATGATAAGAGAAGAACAAACACATGAAGCAATTAAAATTAGAAACCAGACTTTTGAAAAAGTAATTCAATTCAAATACCTAGGATCTTTATGAAATGAAAGAAACGAATTACTAACAGAATTAAAAGAACACATAACAGCCGGACAGGGCATACTTCAGTTGTAAGAAAATACTCACAAGTATAAACATTACAAGAGAAACCATGAAAACTATTTATAAAACTGTAATCAGACCAGTTGTACCATATGCAAGTGAATTTTGGACCCTAACAAAAACAGCAGAAAGCCTATAAAACACGTGGGATTTGAAAGTTCTCAGGAAAATGCATGGGCCAACAAAGGATAAATATGGATGGAGAATACGAACCAACCATGATTTATACAGTCTATATCAGGATCCCACGATAATAGCAGAAATAAAAAGAGGCAGACTACTCTGGACAGGGCACCTAGAGAGAATGGAAAATGGCAGAGAAACGAAGAGGGTGCATCACGAATACCCAAGTGGAAAAAGGCTCAAAGGCAGACCTAGCCTTAGATGGATGGATGATGCGGAAAAAGATCTGCAACAACTGAAAATCCAAGCATTGAAAAGAAAAGCATTAGTTAAGTCTGTGTGAAAGGAAGTAGTGAGGCATGCCAAAGCCTTAAATGGGCTGTAGTGCCACAGAGAAGGTGATGGACCGATTGTTTGTATTATCAAAATGTGCATTATTTGTTATTTTAAGTATATATTTCTACACTACAAAAATGAACACGGGAAATCAATACACAGCAAACGAATTAAAGAAAGCCAACACACACATATACACAAACCAAGTGCACTCAATGACTCCAATTAGGTTCTCACCTCCATTAACGTAAAGTGAACAGATTTGTCCGGCCCCCTTCCATTGTAACTTCACACTCCCCACAGTGCTGTTTTCCTTGCAGAAGACATCACAACTGTCGTCGGGCATCTCGACAGTCCTCATGGATTGGCAAGTCTTATTGACCATTTTGCCATCGACTAGCACCGTGAATTCTAGGGCAGTAATTTCTACCAGTGCTGAAATTTTGAACACTTTACAATACCCTTTACATTTTGAACACTTTACAATACCCTTTACATTTTGAACACTTTACAATATCCTTTACATTTTGAACACTTTACAATATCCTTTACATTTTGAACACTTTACAATACCCTTTACATTTTGAACACTTTACAATACCCTTTACATTTTGAACACTTTACAATACCCTTTACATTTTGAACACTTTACAATACCCTTTACATTTTGAACACTTTACAATACCCTTTACATTTTTCAACCAATTTATTGAGCCGTGTGCGTGTGGGGAAGGGATTTGTGGATTTCAGTTTGTGGATTTTTCTGGCGTTCAGTTGTTGGGAAAGATTATATCGATGAGTTAAACATTTATTGTTATACTTATAAAAGCAGACATTGAGGAATATATGCTTTTTCTCGTTGTCTACCAATTATTTTAATAATTATAAAAAAAGAAAAACAAAATTAAAATGTTTCATTAATGACAGCAATATATTGATTAGGTAAAACGTGAGTGTGTTTTTGATGGGTTGGTAATTACGTTATGCAAATATATTTAATCGTATTAATTGACATTTCAATACACCAAGGAATCACTTTGCTAAAACGAAAATCAAAATAGTGCCTAAGTGATAAGGGTTTAGAAGTATTTTATCTCCATTACCCGACTTCTGGAACACAACCCTGGCCCACGTAAATACGATCGGTTCATTCAGTTTCAATTCAATACGTTTTGTTTCCGCACTGAAACACGTTGTGTCATTGTTGTCTGTGAGTAGTGTATTGAGCTCCGCGTCCATGCTTGCAATGTTACCTGGAACGTTTGAGTCACAATGCTACTTTAGAAATATAAAAAAAAAGGCCTTACATATTATTCGTCAGACACACGCAGGGACACACACTGACACCCAGCAGAAGAATGGCTGATACGAGTTTAAGAACGCAAAACTAAAGAATTTATAGATCAAAGGTGACTGTGGTGAAATAGAGATCTCTCATTACTCACATTTGTATCTGGTGTTAATCATCGTGACAAGCAGCAAACCTTGCAGCGCTAATGACATATGTATGATTTATATTTATTTATTTGGGCTTTCATCTAAATGAATTTTTAAAAAAATATCGTCATCATTTTGAAATTATATAAGAGCGTAATCTATTCCACTTACGGTACTGACACGCCGGCCCAAACCATCCTATCTCACAATGGGATCCTTTGGTGCAGTGGCCGTTAGCATCACAAGAATTGTTCTTACAGTGACAAAGTATCTCACACTCTTTCCCAGTGTACCCTGTAGGGCAGCGCACCCCTTAAAAATAACGGTTTATATGATAAGAGCAATTAATTCCTACAACTGAAAACAATTAATGAGCAAGGCGAACAAACACTTACAATTTATTGGCAATACAACTTATTTTTCTATTGTTTCATCTTTCTCCTTCTAGCTCACTCTATCTTTCTCCCCCTTTCTTTCCATCTCAATCTCTCTGTCGCCCTCTTTCTCTATCAATCTATTCAGCTTTTTATAATTTTCTTTCTATCTGTCTTCTATCTATCCATCCAGCCATCCATGCATCCATCCATCCATCCATCCATCCATCCATCCATCCATCCATCCATCCTACCATCCATTCGTCCTAACATCCATCCATCCATCCATCCATCCATCTATCCATCCACCCATCAATCTATCTATCTATCTATCTATCTATCTATCTATCTATCTATCTATCTATCTATCTATCTATCTATCTATCTATCTATCTATCTATCTATCTATCTATCTATCTATCTATCTATCTATCTA